AGTTCGAAAAAATAAAAAATTATTATTATTATTATTATTATTAATATTATAATATTATTGAACATCAAAAATGATAGTCTTTCGATCATGACAAATTTATTTGGAAAAACTTTTCTTTCAATGAAATGTACATTCTCGTTAAGTAAATTTATTAAATGAACGTAAAGAAAAGAAAAGAAAAGAAAAAAAAATTCGTGGTAAAATTCCAACGTAATTCAATGTAAAAATGTTAAAGGACGATAAAAGTGATCGACATTAACCGGTCCAACGCGTTTATTTAATCAGAGATTATTATTTTTCCAGGGCAAACGTTTGGAAGTAGTGTGTCATCGAAATAAGGACTTATCGTACTCTTCCAGTCGAACGAAGCTTGCTCGTCTCGAATGGACCCGCCACTGTTCGAGATACTGCATTGCTCGAAAAAGAGGAAAAGAAAAAAAGAGGAAATGGGAGGGAAGCAGAGGGAGAGAGAGAGAGAGAGAGAGAGAGAGAGAGAGAGAGAGAGGACACGATTTTTCACGCTCTCTTCGAAGGACTTTGATGTTTTTCTTTCAACATCGAACGAGAGCGGACGTAAAAGAGAAATTAAAATAAACTAAAATATAAAAAAAGAAAAACTTGTATTTGGTTTCTTTTTAAAACTTGTCAAACACGAACGTCCTATTTCTTTTAGATCGAAAAGAAAAACTTTTCGTTTTTTTTTTTTTGGAAATGGTTCAATATTTTCAGATTTTTATTTCATATTCCCCCTTTCGTATCTTTATATATCTTTATATATATATTTATACTTTGACAAAAAATAATTTTTAAGCTAAAAATTGGCATCAATTTAGTCAGCACCGTAACGAAATAAAATCAAAGTCGATGATATGCTAAAACTGACAATGAGTTGATTTTTTTTACTTATTTTGATCATGCACACACGATATTTTTTGTTTCTCATTAAAAAGAAGGATCAATCTCACTGAATATTCGATAATATGGATTTTGTTGTCTACGATTAATCTTGAAATAAAATTTAATACGAGATAATATAGCGAGTAAGCATGTTTTTGAAATATTTGAAAATTTCCGCTTAGATAGAAGAACGAACGGGAATAAAATAAAAATCTGAAAAAGTTAAGGAATTGTTCCTGTTTTTTTACCATTTGAAACCGATTAGACAAAATGAAATTTGGTTCAGTCCTCATATAAGGATCACCCTAATATGCATATACACGTATGGGTGATACATATATGCATGTATCATATATGTGAGATAGAATCTCGTAGATATTAGTGAGAATATTATTTCTTTTCTGTTTATAAATAAATCAAACTTTCTATTCACGTTGTGACTTTTATTCTATTAAAAATAACAATAGTAGTAGATGGATGTTGGATTATTGAATGTTGATTTAAATATGGAAAAAAAAAGAAAAAAGAAAAAGAAAAAAGCCCCAGTTGGCGAGTAAAAGACTTTTCGTGAAGTCACCGATATTCCGTCAAACGCCATTGTGTGATCTGATAGGTCGTTCCATAGAAATATTATGACACGAGAAAGGAGCGAAGAATCGGGAACAATGAAGTCGAAACTTGGAAGCGACCTTGCCTTTTTTTATCGCCTTTAAATATTCATCCCTCGTGTCGAGAAAAGAGAACGAGTTTGTGTGGACGGTCAAAAGTAACGAAGAAGGGATGAGAGAAAAAGAAAGATAGAGAAAGAAAGAGAATAAAAAAGAAGAAGGAAGAAGGATCGATGTACCACCAGACTACTACGTAATTCAACGAAAAAAAAAGTTCATTGTCGGTAAAAAAAGAAAAATAAAGACGGTTGTATCGTGAAACTTTTAACTACAACGTGAATTCAAACTTCCTAAAAACGGACCAATAATTTTTTCTTTCCATGATTTGACAAATCAATTATTTGTTTACAAGATTTTTCAAATTTTTAATTTTATTTAGTTTCATTTGTATTTGTATATTCTGTTAAAAATAATTCAATCGAGAAAAGGAAAAAAGAAAAACCAAACGTGTGTAATTTATTCGGCAAAATTATATAAACAATTTATGCCCACCCAATATTATTAAATTGCAGATGAAATCCTAAGATTGAATTTTTTTTTACTTTTAATTAGAGATGTTTTTCACTCTTTTTATGATAGTATTCTTATCTTTTTATATTTTTTATATCCTTAAAAAGGATAAAACGTTAATTCCTCGTATTAAAACTTCACATTTTTCAATCTGCCACTGATGGTATAAACTTTCAATGCAAGCCAAACGAGATTCATTATTTTTTATATTCTATGGTAACATTAACGATCTCCAACGTATCTCTTGGTCGTTGTAACATTCCTAGAATAT